TTATAAAAAGAAATTTTTGTCAGAAATTGAAGGTTTTGTATTAGAATTCGTGGTAATTTTATAGTTTATGAATCAAACAAAAAAGACATAAAAATTCAGAATTTTCTTATAAATTCTAAAAATTTAATTTTTTTCTTTTAATAAAAATTCCTGACTTTTCTCTGAATTCCCTACGTCAGAATATATGTTTATTATAATTATAATAATATTAAAATTTTATATTCCAATTCATATTTTATTGTTATAAAAAAAAATTCAATTAAAAATTTTTACGTTCTATTATTTTTAAAATTGCTAATTTTATTTAAAAGAGTGAGTGAGAAGTCAGTCGGGCGCGAATTGTTGTTATTAAATTTAAATTGAAAATAATTAATAAATCCCGTGAATATTTTTATTATTTATGAAAATAATTGAATTCTTTCCAAGAATTTTATTTAAAATTTAAGAAAAGAGTTTTTTAAAAAATTTGATTAAAGTTGTATTGAAAATAATTAAAATTAATTAAATTATAGGTAATAAAATAATTAAAATTTTATTATTTATTAAAATAATTGAATTTTTTCGAAGAATTTAATTAAACCGTTTGTAAAGAGTTGATTTTTTGAGAGGGATTTTATTATTTTTTAAAATAATTAAATTGTTTCAAAAAATTATATTAAAACTTTTGAAAACAATTCAATTCTAGTGAAGAATTTTATTATTTTTTGAAATAATTGAAAATCCTGAGAAGAATTTTATTATTATTATTAATTTATTTGTCTAAGGATTACCAAAAATCCATACAAAGGAGCTCGAAATACAATACTATACAACATACAATCATACACATACAATATTAACTAACACAAAATTCTTCATAGAATTATTTTTAATAAAAATTTTGCTATTGTTCTAACCGAGTTACAATCCGGGTTATTTAAAATTTTCAACCATGTATCACTCAACTCACTTAAATCATCAGTGTTTTTTATAATTTTTTTTCGTTCTTCTTTTAGTTTCCTACATTCAATTAGAATATGCAAAATATAATTCTTTTCATTCAAAATCTCCATACAAAAATCGCAGTGTTCATTTCTTTTTAAATAGTAAAATTTTTTGTTCCATACAAATCTCGGCTGATATTTGTTAAATAATTTAAGTTGAATAAACAATTTATAATCATTTAAAGGTATTCTTTTGTTTATTAAAAAGTGCGGTTTATTCTTCATTTCAAGGTAAGGGTAGAGAAATAGCGAGGAGGAGGATGGCGCCCTCAGAAGGTCTCCTTGTTTAAGGTGGTAAATTTTTGTAAAGTTTCAAGACTTAGAGATTCCCAAGCCTCCCCCTCACCAAACTCCTCAAAAATACTGCCCAACTGGCACGCCCAGTTAAATCTAAATTTTTTTGTTTCCCCAGGGTTCAAAGCCCTCAGTCTTCTATATGCTATCTTTGGTAATTTGTTATCCTCCATTTTAAGGAGAAGAATTTTATTATATATTACCTGGAAAACCTGGAAATGTCAGGAAATTTTATAAACCTTGATAAAAACGTGGAAGTCAGGGAATTTTGATCGGAATCCTGGAAAATTATTGTTTTGTAATGCTGCTTATTCTTGAAATCTAATTTTCCTTAAATATTTCAAAATTAATTGAATTTTAAAAGAGTTGCGTTTACAATTTTCATAAATAGATAAACTTCAAAAGGTCGTAATTTGAAATTATGTAAAATTTCAATTTTGAATGAATTAATTAAATAAAAAAAAATTTCACAGGAATTCTATTATTTACAAAATAATTTAATTATTTTCAATAAATAATCAAATTTTTTAAAGAGATTCAATTATTTTCATAAATAATAAAACTCATCACAGATTTTCAATTATTTTTAATACTATTTTAAAGGAATTTCTCGAAAAATGTAATTCTTAAAAATTTGATGAAAATTCAACAAAGAAATGCAATTTCTTAAAATAATTTAATTATTTTCCAAAAATTTTATTAAAATTCTACTTAGAAATTTAATTAATTTCAATAATTTATCAAAATTTAATTATTTTCAATTTCTACTATTTCAATAAAATATCACAAAAGAATTCAATTGTTTAAAAAGAAATTTTAATAAAATTCGTCTCAAGAATTCAATTATTTTCATAAAATAAATAGAATTCTTCACAGAAATTCATTTATGGTTAAAAGTTTAAAAAAAAATTCTCTTCAAAATTTCAATTGTTTTTAGAAATAATAAAATTCTTCTTCAAATTTCAATTATTTTCAAAAATTTTAATAAAATTTTTGTCAAAATTTCAATTATTATCAAAAACTTTTCTCAATTCAATCAAATTTTTTTTCAGAGATTCAATTATTTTTAATACAATTTTTATATAATTTCTCGAAAATTAAAATTATTCGTCAAAAGATTTTTAATTACCTATTTAAAAATTTGTTGATAAAATTCTTTATGAGAGTTCAATTTTAAAAAACATTCAATTCTTCAATAAATTATTTATTTGCATTTTATTTGTATTTAAATAATTGAATTCTCGTAGAATTTTCTAATAATAATTGATTCAAATATGAATTTCAGTTAAAATTTGAGATAATAATTGAATATTAAACTCTCTAAATTTGAATTAAAAAAAAAAAAAATTTCTAATTTGAATTAGTGGCTGACTTTTTGCTTTTGAATTAGCAGATTTTACTAATAAATAGTCGTTTCTACTAATTTAATAGTGAAATTTACTAATTTAAATTTAGAGAGAATTAGCTGAATTTTTAGAAAGAATTGAATTTTGAAAAGGTTTCAAACGTTTGAGTTTTTCATACTTTTAACTGAAAATTGTGTAGATTTAATTTTTTTGAAAAAGATTAATTGAATTTTTTTGAAGTTATTTGATACTTTTATTGTCTTATATATATTTGATTGAAGAATTTACGAATAATCGATGATATTTCATAAAATTGAATTGTAAACAAATGGATTTGAAAATTTTCAAAGAAATTTTTCAAAAATTATTATAAATGAATGAATAATTATTTATTTTTTTTTAATGAATTTTCATTTTTAAAGAAGAATTTTAGTTAAAAATTCTGGAAAACAATAATTGAATTGAAGTGATGAAAGTATAATTTTGAATAAGTTAGAGTAACAATATTCTGATAGGGGAAAGGTGTACGAGATGATCCCCTGGGGCAAGATGATCCTTTTGAATTTTGGCGAGCCTATTAGCGCCACCTTTTAGCCAAATACGGTAATACGTTGCCAATGACATACCTATGAATCAGTCAAACTGTCATGACAACACGCGTCATTAAAAAAATTCTATTGAAAAAAATAAAAATTTTATACTTTTGATCTAAGGAAAGCTTAACTTTGGGCTTAGATAACTTTTGTTGTAGTAGCTAAAATTCCATGTTTCTTGTACTCACGGCTTCAGTATCTCTTCAACTAAGTGTTCTGATTGGTATTATGGAATAACAGAGCTCGTAGGTTAAGTTACGAACAAATTACAAAATAGTGGCATTTGGGGCAAGATGATCCCTCAATGGGTGTACAAGATGATCCCCCCTAATTCCCATGTATTTCGTCTCACCTCAAAGTGAATTTTCTAGTATTAATAAAAAATTTAATTTTTCTCGCTTCTTATATGTTTTTATTATGAAAACTAACTTATCTAAAACAAAAAGTTGACATCTACATCTATTTTATTAATTTTCTCGTTGTAGACAATGCCTCGTAATTAAAAAATAGGAAAACGAATCGTGGTGAGTGGTCAAAAGCGTTTGTGGCCTAAATAAAGTATATTTAACATTGATACACTGTTATTCCATCAATTTATACTCCTTTTCCAATAATTGGGGTAAGATAAACCTACGGATCATCTTGCCCATACCAGGGGGATCATCTTGGACACCCCGGTGTCCAAGATGATCCTTTTGTAAGGTTTTAGAAAAATTAAATTTAATAGTAAAATATTAATTAGCTGCAAATATTTCAAATCAGAATAGTTAGATAGATTAATTATCTAGTAGTGCGTACAAAAGAAACTCGAATATGTTGATTTTTCTTTGAATAATAGGTTTTTTCCCTTAGGGGGATCATCTCGTACACCTTTCCCCTAATAGAAAATAATGATTTTATCAGTCAGTCATTTTTAATTATTATAAAACATGAAGATATCGATTGCTCCGAGTCGAAGACTCGGAGTGATCGATTTCTTCATGTTTTATAAACATTTTTTATATGATGTTTAATTTCAAAAAGGTTTGAATTTGAATCTTTTGAAGAATTTTAATTCCTATATGGAAAAATCATAATGACTAATTATTTAATTTTGTAAAATATAAATGTATGTAGTTTTAAAAACCTGGAAAAATTCCGTTTTTTAACCTGGAAAACCTGGAAAAGTCAGGAAATTTGAAATGAGCAAAAGCGTGGCAACCCTGTATATGAAATTAATTGAATTCCTATATATGAAGAATATAATTTAATAAATTTTTGAAAATGTTAAATTTTTTTAAAATAATTTTATTAAAATTAAAAAGAAAGATTTTAAAAAAAATTTTATTAAATTAAAAAAAAAAGATTTTTAAAAAAATTTAATTCCTCCGATGAATTTTATTGTTTGAAAAATAAAAATTTCATATGAAATTAGAATTCAGTGTTCTTAAATTAAATCTAAAAATCATAATAATTAAATCTAAACTCAAACGTGTCCTCGACATTAAGTTTTTGAAAACGCAATTGCTGTTTAATGCAAAAGCTTGGAACTTTTCCAACTTTAAGTTGTAATGCTTACATCTCTAGTTTCATATTCAAAGGCATTTGAATAATAAAAGTTTTCGAGAGTTGTTCTTTTTTTAAATTTATTAAAGTTTGAAAAACTTGTTCGACTTTCCATTGAGGAGAGTTTATAATATTTTCTCTCTAGTCGTAAATAAAAATTCTTTTCCCATTTTACTTTTCAAGTATATAGCCTGTTATATATATTTACATTAACAATTCTTTTTCTTCTATTTTTTTAGGTTTTACAAAAGCAAATGGACTTGGAGTTAGATTTAGTGTCAGATAAGGCTGAAAAATACGGTGGACATTCGGTTGTTTTAGCTCGAGTCATTGTCGTTGCTTTGAGTTCGCAGCCAGTGGATCATGACAAACGATTGATGAATGATCCCAACGAGAGATTATGCCAAGAATTTAGCGACGAGGAAGAGGAGTTTAGCTCGGAAGGTGAAGCCGAAGGTAGCGACAGTGAACCCACTTTGGAAGTACACAGGCGAAAGAGTCGGGGAAAAATTCCTGCCAATGCGAGGGTACTTTTTTCTTTTTCATTTTGTTTTAGAAAAATCAAATTCAAAAATGTTTAAATCATTTTTTTATCCTTTCAGCAAAGAAACTTAAAGCAAAAATTTATTTCCCTCTTGAAACGATTTCGAGTTTCCGAGGAAATGGAACATGATCAAGAAGAAATGGGACAAAAATTATCTGGTATGGATATAAATTTTTTAGGGAAAATTTAAGTTCAATTATAATTTTATTCAATTTAATTCCTCGAATGTTCTCAAAACATCGAAAATTCAAAATCTCGATAGTTTAAAACTTCCCGAATGTTTAAAACATAAAAAATTTCAAATCTCGAAAAAACTTTTATTTTAATTTAATATTATTCAGGATTTTTATTAATGTTAAAAATTGGATATTAACTTGAAGATTAAATTAATTTTCTTAAAATTTTTGCAAAGAATTTTATTATTTATAAAAGTAATTGAATTGCTTTAAAAAATTGTATTAAAACTTTTGAAAACAATTCAATTCCTGCAAAGAAATTTATTATTTATGGAAATAGTTTAATTCTTTCAAAGAATTTTATTGAAGCGTTTAAAATAATTTAAATTCTCAAAGGAGTTTTATTATTTGTGAAAATAATTGAATTCTTGTGAAGAACTTTATTAAAACTTTTGATAATAAATAAAATTTTCGCAATGAATTTTATTATTCATTAAAATAATTGATTTTTTGAGAGGAATTTTATTTAGAGCTGTGCAAAATAATTCGAACTAAGCTAACTCGAATGTCGAATTTACGACATTCGACATTTCGGCGCCTTAAAACCGAACAAAACTCGGTTCGGTCCGAATTTTGCACAGCTCTAATTTTATTGTTTATAATAATAATTGAATTGTTTTAAAGTATTTTATTAAAATTTTTGAAAATAATTGATTTCCTGACAAATAAAAAATTAAGTTCGACGTTAATATTTCAAGCTCAGATCACCTACAAGAGATTCTGAGTATTGCCAAGTTTTTATCTTGACAACTGGCAACAGATTAATTAAAGTTGTCGCTTAATGCAAAAAAAGTTGACATCAATTTTCAGACTGGTTCAGTATTTCATCTCGCATTTGAAAAGTAACAAATTGAAAATCATACAAAAAATTTGTATTATTCTTTATGACTCCCGGAAGAGAAATTGACTTGGATTTTTTATTTTTGTCAATTCAGTTAATAATGACAAGCTGTCCGAATTTACCCCAAGAATTCAGAAATTTGGGGTAAATCTGGACAGAGCTTCTATTACATTTTAAAAAGTATAGAGTGTAAGAGAGAGTGAGAAAGAGAGTAAGAAGGAGAGAGTGAGTGACTTCAAATTCGTAATTAGTGACTCCAAAAACCCCCGAGTAACAATTTTCAAGCAAATCCGATCAAATTTTAAAAATGTCCGCCATATTGGATTCACCATTTTGAATTTTCAAAATATGACTTTGAATTCGTATTCAGCAACCCCAAAAACCCCTCAGTAGAGAAATCCAAGAAAATTTACTTAAATTAAATCAATTAAATTAATCAGTTTATTAGAAAATTTTTACGTTTATCCGCCATATTGGATCCGCCATTTTGAATTTTCAAAATCTGACTTAGAATTCTTATTCAGCGACCCCAAAAACATTTCTTTACCAAGTTTAATTAAAGTGCATTAAAATTTGTTAAAGTTATTTAAGTTTTTCATTACTACTTTTCTAATGGTTGATTTCTTAACTTTTATGATACTATAAAACTCAACTGATTGAACTTTTATACATCTACTATGAATTTTTCTCAAATTTTTCCATCCCTTAATACAGTAGGTAGTATACTTAAGGTAACTTTTTTAAAACCTTTTTTAGAAACTAAGCTGTCCGGATTTACCCCAAATTTTAGGAAATTTTCTAATTCTTGGGGTAAATCCGGACAGTTAGTTTTATGCGATTAAAGCTTATCTAAATTTTTTTATGCTCCATAAAATTAATCTAGGGAACACAAGGAAGAAATTAATGCAATAGAAAACCGGCAGTATTGCCTTTTATAATAAAAAACTTACGTCATTTGTGAAAAATAGGTATTTTGTCCGGATTTACCCCAACTGACCCTATTTATTTTAAAATTGAAAAAAATTTTTTTTTTTTAAATTTGATTAAATTTGTATTGAAAATAGTTTATTAAAATTGGATCACTTTTACAAATATTAACTTGAAGATTAAGTTATTTTTCTTAAATAAAATTCAATTTTTCAGGCGAAAGAATGGAAATTGACGAATTGTTCGACGAATTGGAGGATCTATCTGACAGTGGTCCGGAATTGGATACAATGTCAATTAGCAGTACACCAAAGCCATCTCTTCGACCGTTTTTCAGCTCAAGCCGTTCTCTTCTTGCTCCTCCAAATGCCGGTAATTAATTCAATATAAATAATTAGCTTTATTTGTATTGTAGAATTTTGTGGCACGTTGGAAGCCAAGCCATTTCTTTTTTTACTCAAAAAATCAATTTATGTGACCTGCAGTTCTTTTTTTTCCTATTAGATATTTGTAAGTAAAAAATTGCTAATAATCAGAAAGTATCATCTTGTCGTGCTTAGAAAATTTTGAACAGTAGTTTTGCGATTATCGTTAAATTCAAAAATCATTTTGTCGAGTTAATTTTTTTCAGTCCTTATCATAAAAGTCAAAGTTAAAAAAATTATTTTTAAATAAGAAAGAAAGAAAGAAAGCTCTTTTTTGAAGAGTTAATTTTTTAGAAAATATTTTCAATATCATATGCCCTGGCTTTCGCTATGTTTTCTTAATGTCTTGTCTCTCATGGAGCTTTCATTCGTTTTTTTAAATAGCTATTTACGTAGTGAAAAAATGTTCTTGCTTTGTTGTTGCTTCAAAGGATTTCAAAAAAAAAAAAACAAACAAACGGAAAAAAATAGTGACTAGTCTTTGTTTAAATTCGTTAAATTTCCTATTTCACGGAGGAAATTAATTACGTACTTTTAATTAATAATGACAATCGACACACCTTTTAATTTTGTGGCCACTAGCATTCTGCGTTTTATTTCATTTCATCGTTTGTAGTATTTTCCCCCATTAAGATTTAATTAAACACTGATTTTTTTACAGGTTATTATTTTTACTAAAAGCATATTTTTCTTTTTAAATTAAAAAAATAATTTTTTATTTCTATCAATTTGATTAAAATTAATATTTGTGTCAATTACTCAATTTAATGAAAATTAATTCGTATCAATTTACTTAAAATTAATTTCTTTGATAATTTAATTTCAAATTTCACACAACATATTAAAAAATTTTATTTTAATTTAAAAAGTTGGTTCAAATTTTTTTTTATTTATTTATTTACTTATTTTCTTTTTTTTCTTTTTTTGAAAGGAATATTTTTAACTGTAGGAATCATTCATTTTTGTCACTTTTTACCATTTTTTCAGTTTACTATTATAATTTCATTGCTTAACAAATTCCAAAGTCATATTAACTAAATAAAAGTCGCTCGGGTTGGCTTTGCACTGTTGCATGGTTCGATTCGGTAGTAGTAACCAGCGAGGAGACAAGAAACAACACAGCAGCCGCTTTAGGTCCACAGCCTCCTGGACAACCAGCAAAAGAAAAATCACGCGTCGGACATACGACCCCAGGTATGTGAGAACGTTTCAACCGAAAAACGTTTTCCTCAAAAAATTTTAATTACAAATAGCCCATTTTTTATGAACGACTCTTAGTCACTTGATAAATAGAGGCCTACACTTTTTTTCTACTCTTCCAGTCAATAATTAAATTAGGTGATTCAATTTTCATTACAATAAAATTGTGAATTAAAAATAAATGTAGATTAATTATAGAAACATGGAAATTAATTCTAAATTTAGAAATACTTTTTCAGAAATAACTTGAAAGCAGACTTCGCACTCATCTACTAAAAACTAATATTTAATACATTTTTTTACGATCTCTACTATTTGGATACTTTTTTTTAGATTTGTGTCACTAAAAGCTACCTTGTTTCTTTTTTGATTGAGACTTTGCCCCACTTTTAATTCGCCAATAGTTGAAAGAAAAAAAATTACTTGAAATAATTCAATTATTTCCACAAATAATGAAATTCTTCGCTAAAATTCAATTATTTTTAATATTTAGGTACTATCTTAATAAAATTCTTCTCAACAATTCAAATATTTTCTAATATTGTAATAAAATTCTTCGCAAGAATTAAATTACTTTTATAAATAATAAAATTCTTCCCAAAAATTCAATTATTTTGAAAATCTTATACAAAATTATTTTCATAAATAATAAAGTTCTTAATAGGAATTTAATTATTTTCAATAAATTGATTAAATTCTTTAGAACAATAAATTAAATTATTTATTAAAATTTTAATGAACAATTCACAAGAATTGAATTACATATATTAATAAATAATAAAACTCTTCTCAAGAATTCAATTATTTTCAAAAGTTTTAATAAAATTGTTTGAAAGAATTATTTTATTTTCAAAAATTCTTAAAGGATTCTTCTTAAAAATTCAATTATTTTCTATAATTTAATTAAAATTCTTCATAAAAATTCAATTATATTAAAAATTTTTTATAAAATTCTTCCCAATAAATTTTTTCTTAGTAATTTAATTATTTTGAATAGAATGTTTATAAAACTTCTTTACAGGATTTAATTATTTATCAAAATTTTAATGAAAATCTTCCAAAAATTTTAATAAAATTCTGTTATTTATTTTGAAATAATCCAGAGACATATTAAACGATTTAAATTAATTTTAGAAAATAATTTATTAAAATTATAATACAATTGTTATTGACAGCTCGAATGTGACCATGACTGATGAACTAATAGACAAATGTCATTTTGTTTAAATAATTATATACCTATAAAATAAGAATTGACGTTGAGGATTCTTACTCGATAAATATATTTAAATAAGAACTTCATTGAAATAAGAGAATTCGATACCTCCGTGCAAAAAAAACCACTCTCACGTTGGTTCTCTAAAGTAACCACTCTGTATTTTTTCTCATAACCTGGTAATATTTTGTTTTATACATTTTTTATTTAAAGATTATTATTTGCAAGAAAATCTAAACACAATTTATAATCAGTCACTATTGATAGAGTATAAATGTTTATTATATTTCATTGTAAATATTTTATATTTTTAATAAAAAATGAATGAAAGAGAATATGGTGAGGTTAGGAAACAAAAGCCAGTTCTGTTACTTTAGACATGGAGTTTTTTTTTTTTTTGCACGGAGGTATCGAATTATAATTCTCACAAATTCTTTGTAACAATTAAATTGTTTTAAAAAGTTTTAATACAATTTTTTTTAAATAATTCAATTATTTTTATAAATAATAAAATTCCTCTCAAAAATCCAATTATTTATAAACGGTTTAATTAAATTTCTCGAAAAAATTTAATTATTTTAATAAAAAATCAAATTCTTTGCAGAAATTTTATTTATTTTCAAACATTTTAATAAAATTTTTCGCAAGTATTCAATTATTTTCATAAATAATCACATTCGTCACAGGAATTCAATTATTTCCATAAATAAGTGAAATTGTTTTCATGATTTAAATTATTTAAACAAATAATAAAATTTTTCCCAGGAATTGAATTATATAAAAAAAATTAAATAAAATTCGTTGCAAAATTTCAATTATTTTAAATAAATTATTAAATTCTCTGCATGATTCCAATTATTTTAAATATAATTTAGATAAGTTCCTTGAAAAAATAAATTAATTATTTTATAATTTAAATTAATTATTGTGTGCGAAGCCTGTAAAAGTGAAAGTCTCCTATTTTGAAATTAGTTCAAAAATATTTTAATTTTAAAATTATACACACATAATAATTACAGAAATAATTTGAATAGTAACCTAAAATCATTATTTTTCTATTCAAATTATTTTTTTTAATTAAAAGAAAGTAAAGAATTAAATTAAGAATTTCAATTCAAAAATTAGTTTAAAAATAAAATTTACTATAAAAATCCATAATAAATTAATTTAGTTAAAATTAATTAATTATTTAATTAGTTAATAAATGAAAAATTTATGAGTGGTGAAAAAAGGAAATTAGTTACTATAAAATTTGTCTTCTAACTAAAAGTAATTATTCGAAAAATTAAAAAAAAAATTAACTCGGATTAGTAAATTTTTTTTATTAAATATCGAAGGCAATTCATTAAAGATAATTTTGTAGATTGGAGAAGAAACTCTAGCTGTTGAATTCGTGGGACACTCAGTAGTCAGATCTTAACAATTAGTGCCTTCGCTGAACTCAATATCGTCCAAATAAAATGGAAGAAATTTTCATTCAAAAAAAGAAAGAAAACAATTTCTTTTACAAAAAAAACCGATTGCATTTTTTGAAGAAGGCGATTCACTTAATTTTTTGTGCACGTCTGCAATTTAAAAAAAAAGAGAAAAAAACCTTTCATGTACGAAATTCTGTAAAGAGTAGAAATAAATCATCTTGGAATTTAATTCTCTCTAGTTATTTCTACTTGTACTTTCGTCTATTTTGTCATTGTGTTTAGAAAATATTTTGTTATTTTAGGTTTTTGTTTTCAAATTTTCAGTTATTTTCGAAATTACTTTTCTATTATTGTTTTTTTATTTCCTCCTTTATAGCATTTTTTTCTTTCATTTTATATTTATTTTTCTTTGTTTTTTCTCTACAAGCTCGGGAATTTTTTTTTAGTGTGCGTGTGACTTTTATGCCCTGTGGTTTCTATTGCTTTCATGTTGTCCGTTGCAGACTCTCTTTCTCTCTACTCATATACGTACGTATTCTCTTCGTTTTCTGAAGTGTCTGTCTACTTTTTTGTCGCTGATGCTTTGATAGAAATTAATCAGGTCATTCCAACTATTGCTGCGGTGTCGACTTCAGTAAAATCAGTGTTTTTTCTCTACTAATTCTATTTCATTTTTTTTCGTCTAATTTCCTTTATATACCTTTCGATCGTTTTTGGATATCCTTTTTCTTTGAAGAAAAAAACATAAAATTCTCTTTTTGGAGATAATTTTCTAACCCTGTGAATTTTTAAATTCTATTACTATTTCACGTATTTGAATTTTTCTGCTAATTTTCTTTTTTAAAACAATTATTTTAGGAAATGTCGCTTATTTGCACGATTGAATAATATTTTTGCCATTTTATTAAATTATATTCCGATTGCCTTTTGCATGTGGAAAATTTATGTAAAAAATTTTATAACAATTTTTATATTTTATTTAATCAATTTCCAGCACTTAAAATAGAATATTTAATATCTAACAGTGCAATTAGATTTTTGCATAAATTATTTTCTCAATTTATTTTATCAATTTGTCTTATCTATTTTTTTTATCAATTTTTTCATCAATATGTTTTTTCTATTTTTTTTTGTCGATTTTTTTTCAATTTACAATATTTTCTATACAAAATTTTTTTCTACAATAAAATATTTTTATTTATTAATCTATCTACTTTGGAAAAAAATATTACAATGCACCTTAATTATTTTTCTCTTAGAGAAAACACAATTCTTTGATTTCTACCTATATTTTATTTTCTATTTTCTTTTCTTTTTTGTTTTTCTTTCTTAGAATTGATCGAATTGTGAAAATTAATGTCATTAAATTACAGAACGTGGTGTGGATAGACAAAGTGATGATAGTTCAAGAAAAGCTGACAGCGATTCACATCCGGAAAATTGTACTGATCATGAGACAAATGATGTGATAAATATTTTTGCTGGATCGCCACCAAAGTCGGAGCCGCAAAATAAAAATGACAATATTGAACGGAAAGCCAGACTATTCACGAGGGACAAAAGTGTGACGAATCCGATAAAATCGAAAAAACATAGTTTGAGCGTCGATTTGAAACCATCGGTGGATTTGAATAATTCCGAGGTAATTTATTAAATTATGTTTAAATGAAAAATAATTGTTTTGTTGTTTATTTAAATTGTGATTTAATATTTCAGCCAAGAAAAGCGTTAATTGAGCAACAGTTCAATCGAGTGTTGCCCGACGATGGACTACCGGATGCGTTGTCCTTGGTTTCATTAGCTGATACAGGTGGAGCTGGACTGGCGACTAGACTCCAAGAACGTATTCCTCTTGTTCTTACAACAGCTTCTCCAGCTGATATTCGTGGGACTCTAACTTGCCTGGCAACAAGGATACAAAAATTGTAAGTAAAACGATATAAATATTTGTAGAAACATTTTTAGTTTAGATAGTACCAGGGTTGCCATAAACTATGAAAGTACCCCGAATTCTAATACAAAACCTTTTATTTCTTCTATTTTTGACCATAATTTCTTTTTGAATAACTTAATTCTTGAACAACTATTATAAAATTACTAGCACAAATAACGCGCGCTAAAGCGCGCGTGAAGTTTCTTATTTCACTTTTAACATATATAACAATAATGTAATTTTTACATTACATGTCACATGAGAATAAGACTTAAATTTTTATTCCGTTAAGCATGTTATATTTTAAGGTTGACTATTGTTCATAGAAAAGCGTGATTGCCAATGAGACGATAATGGAAGATATGTTTATTACAGTATTTTTGACTTATTAATTATCAAAAATAAATTACAATTAATTACAATTAATTACTTATTTGTTATTTTGTTTCTAATAGTTTTCTAGTCAAAATTAAATAATATTATTTTCATGTCATTAACATTAAAAAATTCAATTATTCCGAAGAATTCTACACAAAATCACTATTTTTCTAAATTTATTCAGGAAAATCAGAAAAAAGGCAGAGAATTTTGTCAAAGGTGCTGGAATAATATTCAATTTCAAGAATTCATAAGAAAATTCTGAATGTTATTCTACAGCGTTGAAAAGATTTTATTTATTTCAAACTTTTCCTGTTTTTAACAATAATTAGACTTTAAAGATTTAAAATTTATTTTTTCAAATACAGTCAGGTCCCCATACTGTTAGATTCCAAACTGTTATGTCCTCAGTAGTGTTATGTTTTTGCATAACCTCCAAATTCAGAAGTGTTAGGTGACGTCACGTTACGTCACCAATTTTCAGGGCCGTATTCTTAAGCCCAAAGAAAAGGGGGCATATACTTCTAGGCCAAACTTGAGGTGTATATATTTACGTTCCTGAAAGGTGCGCAGTAAGCAAACTTTGAGCACATAACAGAGCTGAGTCTGGAGGAGTGGAAAATTTCTGGAAATGTAACAGTATGGGGACCCGACTGTAATTTAATTATTGAAAAACTGTTGAGAAAAAATTATTTTTTATGAATTATTTTGGAATAATTTTTTATTTAAAAATTAAAGAAATAATTGAATTTTATGAAATTTGTATTTAAAATTTTTTTATTAAGTAATATAAATAAGTAGCAACTGTCACGCCCGCCAAATGAAGTATTTAATTTATTATTATTATTACTCAAAAGAAATAAAATTATCTTTACAAAATTTCAATAAAAAATTCTTCGAAAAATTTATGAAAAATTACAAAAATGTTATCTTTTTAAATTATTGTATAGGTAACAGCTAAACAAACGCGCGCTAAAGCGCGCATGTAGTTTCTCTTAGTATCAATAGATATTGAATTAGCTAAAGTTTTTTGAAATGTTACTTCAGTAATTTACGACAAATTCCTGTTAGAAATAACAAAAAAACTAAAAAAAATTGTGAGCAAAAATTTTGAATGCTTTGCTAACTTTGCACAAAATTCATTTTTAAGCCTCCCAATAATAAATTGAATTTTTGAAAATTTATAACTGATTGCATAAATGCAATTATTTTCAAAAGTAATAAAATTTTTCGCAGAAATTCAATTATGTTCAAGAATTTTTTAATATTCTCGTCAAAATGTCAATTATTTTTAAAAAATTTAATAAGAAATCTATTATTTACAATATTTTTATAAATTTCTTCGCAATAATTTAATTATTTTTATAAATAATAAAATTTCTTTCAGGAATTCAATTATTTTCATAAATAAAACTCATCGCAGAGTTTAAATTATTTTTAATACAATTTTAATCAAATTCATCGAAAAATGTAATTGTTCTTAAAAATTTTATGAAAAATCGTTAAAAGAAATCAATGATTTAAAAATGTTTTGATAAAATTCTTTATGAGACTTCAATTTTAAGAAATTTTAAATATTAAATAAATTATTTATTTTTCCATTTAAATTATTGAATTATCTAATTAAAAATTTATTTCAAAATAAATTTCAGTTAAAGTTTTACATAATAATTGATTATTAACTCTTTGCCGTTGATATGTTACGAAATGTCGTCTAGAGTCCTTTTTGGGGGAACAGCCAATGAGAAGAGGCGTTTATGCTTGTGTTGATAAGTTAGTTATGTGTGAGTATGTAAGTGTTTAAACTTGCAGGATCGTACCTTCTCAAAATTAGAACCCATTTATATTTTACAATAAATTATATTTAATTATACTAATTGATCACTAAAAATACGATTTTTTGTGTAAAGTGCAAATGTATATTTGCAATTTATTACAATTTAAAAATGGTAAATTTGATTGTTAAAGACTGTTATCAAACATAAATATCCTATGTAAACATAACCTCAAAATCAATCTAACATCCGGCCCTGATATTGTCCACGTGATTCAACTGTCAAACTGCTTGTTTCTGAGGTGGGGAAAACTTATCTACGGCAAAGAGTTAAAAGCATTATAGCATGAATTTTAAGAAATAATTAAATTTTAAAATGGTTTCAAATCAAATTCTTTAAAAATTTGTATTTTTCATACTTATAACTAACAATTCTGTAGAATTAATTATTCTAAAAAAGTTTAATTGGATTTTATCCTGAAATTATTTGAAGTGTTTATTTTTTAATTCGTATTTAATTGAAGAATTTCTGAATAATTTAAATTTCGTAAAATTGATTTGTAAACAAATGGATTTTAAAATTCTCAAAGAATTTTTTTTAAAAATTATTAAAAATAATTTATTCCTGTGAGAAAATAATAATGATTAAAATTTATTTAGAAAAGAAGTTATTGATGTTTTCAAATAATTTCAGAAATTGGTAAATAAATGTAATAGGGTCATTTCGGAGGAGAGTTAAAGTTCATGTCTCAGATTTTTTTTTATATTTTGCTTATTAATAGTATTTTGGGTCCTAAACAATTATACCAAATTTTAATCAAATATTTTTATTATTTTTCAAGATATTTGCATTGCAAATTTCTTGACATTTTTTTTTTCATTTTATTATAACTCACTTATTTTTAAAAATTTATTAAATTTGTTAAGAACCTTTTTTACGTAAAAACCATTGAAGTTTAATAAAAAAATTGAAAATTAAAAAATATCAATTTTTTAAATTATTTATTTATAAAATTATATTTATTTTTAATGTTTAAGCATGAGCCCTATCAGATTTTGTTTTAAAAAAAAACTTATTTCAAAGTTTAAGATCTCATTAAAAAGCCGTGAAATTTTTAGAATGGCATCTGTCTTTGTTTTTTAGTAATAAATTGTCAAAGTTTTAATTGCACTATCGCGCGCCGGCTCACAGTGGGATTTTTTTTACAATTTACTGTTCAAAAATGACTGCAGCCTACAATTTTTAACCGATTTGAGTCTTTTTTGTTTTAAATTAAAGGGGACATCCCGGGAGGCCGATTTTTTAAATATTAATTGTTTATAATTTTTTATTTTAAAAAAATTAATACAATTTTTTTTAAAAAGACGTTTATTTTTTTATTCCGTTACTGCACATGATCTAAATCAGTTCAAAATAATCCAATATGTCCACCAGACAATTATTAAAACAAAATAATTTATTTAAATTGTTATAAACAATATTATTTAACAAATAGTTAACTTTGATTCCTCTTAACTAAAAAATGTTCTTTTTCACATTTACTTTTATATGTAGGTTCATTTAAAGAATATATGTCCTCTCCTTGTTTAAATAAGTTATTTTTTAAACAAGTAGGACATGTATTCTTGAAATAAAATTAAATCAAAAAGAAAATGTGGAAAAAAACCTTCTTTAGTGAAGAGGAATCAAAGTTATCTATTTGTTTAATTATATTGTTTATAACAATTTAAATAAGTTATATTTTGAACGAGGAGGACATATATTCCGTGAACAGAAAGTGTCGTCTTTTGTTTTTCTATAGTAATTAATGTTTTGATAGAAATTTTGGTTATGAGTATTCCCATATGTGTGATAACCACTTTAGGCAAAGAAATTTTTTTTCAAATAAAAGAAAAATTATTAAGACATGCCTTTATTCAATTCAACTGATGTTAAAAATGGTAATTACATGTAATTTTTTCAAGAATTCTCTATTATTTTGTTAATTCTTATAAATTTAATGAAATTCTCATACTTGGTATTGATAAAAAGTTTAAATTCTACCATCGAACAATTTTTTTTACAATATTATTCAATTAGTAAACTGAATTTTATTTGCCACTTTTGTTTGACAAAAATAAATTGATTAAAGACACTTAAATTTTAAAGTTTAAATATTTAGTATGTTTTTAGATTAAAATAGTGTTTTTCAATTAAATCTTTAAAATTTTTATTTCTTTTGGTAAATTCAGTCCCCTATAAAATGATAATTCAATAAACTTAAAAAAAAATTCCGCATTTTTAAATTTTTTGATACTCTTGCCATTCCGGTTACGCAGAATCGGGTACCGTCAACTGGGGCTATTTTGTGCATCCGGGGGCTATTTTGTGCACGCGAGTTTTTTAATGAAAAAAATTATTAAAATGAATTATTTTAATCTGCTATTTTGTAAAATGAAAGTTTGATTACATGACAATAGAGAGCACTAAATGTTATTATTTAATTCTTTGTCAATTAAGAGAAAAAAATTCCTAAAAACGGAAAATTTGTTTAAAAAATTTTGAAAGTTCGGAAAAATTATACCAGATCTTCTAGAGTTTTAATGTGTCTCATAAACTGAGTTAGATATTTGTTGTCAATTGTGTTGTGATGATACATACGTAATGCGCTAATTTTTTAATCATTATTTTAAGAGAAAAGTGGTAAAAACTGAAAAACCAGGATTCCATGGGGCTATTTTGTGCACTTAAAAAAATCAAATATTTTTCATAAATGTTTTATTTAGTAAGTAAAGAAGATTCTGTTTATCATTTTAATACATTTTTGTCTTACTTTCCTGTCAAAAAACTGTAAATACGT